GTGCTTCCAGATCCAGCTCCTCCCAATCCTCATCAGATATATCCTTGTGCTTCTTCTCTTTTCCCGTCAAAGCTTTGTGCAATTTCTGCGAAATCAATGTGTTCTTCATCTGCATCCTCCAATAAGAAAAATCATTCTTCCCATTGAATTTTTCAATCTCGTATTTTCCCACTTTAACTGTTTTACTTGTTGACGCCATTCTCTGCTTGTATTAATGAATCTGCTTCTCTCAGGAAATTACCGAGCACCACCTCAAATCAGAAGCTACACCACTCCCAATCTGAATAACAGCTCTGATACCAATTGATGGGCGCAGAGTCACGCCCACCGCTGCGGAAGCAATATCACCTGAGAGAGAGCCCTGGCTTTTGTTATCACAAAAAACACAAGTCAACCTCTATATTCTTGTTTCTTAAAGGAAACGAGAATAGATAGTGAAATTCTTATTTCTCAAAGGAAACAAGAATCGAAAGTGATATATTTCATCAAAGTGAAATATATACTCTTCCTCTCATCAGCTCTAAGACCGAATATTGAGAGAACCTACAAGCAATAGCCAACAACCAGAAAACAATAAATACACGAGATTTACGTGGTTCGGCAAAATTGCCTACGTCCACGGGAGGGGTGAGGGGAGATTCCACTATGAGAAGAACACTGACGACTTGTACAATCCACAAGCTCGTCTCAAAGAAAAGAGATCTGATTATACCCAAAAGAAATTAACTTTTCTCTTGTAAAATCTCTCTTTTTCTCTCCTCAAGATCTCTCTTTTAGATCTGAAAAACTCTACTTTTTCTCCTCTAAAATACCCTCTATTTTTCCTTTAACAGCCGCAAAAACTCCTCTGTTTTTTTTCTTTGCGTCGCTGTAATTTTTCTCCCTGCAGACTTTTTCTCCAAAGCCGCTGTTCCCGCACATCAAGTACGAAGCCCTAGACTCAGTATTTATAACAATCACTGCTCATCAACTTTGTTTGTTCCCGCACATCAAGTACGAAGCCCTAGACTCAGTATTTATAACAATCACTGCTCATCAACTTTGTTCAGGACAAAACCCGAATAGGCCCAAATACCGCTCCGCATGAGTGATTGATAATCACGTGGGTGTGGCCCACGTGAACCCCACGTGAACCTACCGTTCACAGTTATCTTCCACAAAAAGATAAAATTGGGATTTGTCAAATCCTCTCCAATTAAGAGGTAAGCATACTTATTTATGGGATTTGTCAAAATCCTCTCCAATTGAGAAGATTTGACAAATTCTAAAAATTAACCACTTTTTGCACTTTTGAGATTCAATATCACTCCGTCAAACGAACGATGTGGGAGAGGAATAAGGTCTCGAGGAGAACGGCGAATCTTAAAAAGATGATGAATTCTGACGCGATTTACGGCCTAAATAGTTTTTACTGTTTTCAGCTTGAGGGCTAAAAAATGACTCGCGATTAAGGACAAGGTTTGTTAAGTCAATTTGGTTAGGTTTGCTAGCTCAACTTTTTCTAAGGGAACGCCTGACTTATAAAACACTTGACATATATTTTAATATAGTATATATATCAAGCTCATAAGATGATCCGACCACGCGTTTTCAATGTTGACTTGTCAAGTTAATCATGAGTATTAGATACAATATTATGTAATATCCAAATGGGAAAACCCAAAAATCATTATTCGTACTACAGTAAATGCTATGTTTACATTTGCTATATCATTATTACTGCAGAATATAAGAGACAATATATTGTAGTATTTTTCAAAAGATATTACTGTAGCACATATGGAACATAGTGTTTTAAGAAATTACAGTAGCAGCGACGGAACACTGTAGCAATCCAAAAAATATACTGTGACATTTAAAATCGGATTATTATAGCGAGATAAAAAATGATATGCCGTGCTTTGCACGATGTTCACACTAGTCTCGATGAAGTACCAAACCAATTTCTCAGAGAGAGGGGGGGGGGGGGGGGGGGGAAAAGGTAAAAGAGGAAAAAGAAAGGAACTGTCCTCTAATGACAATCATTAACTATGAATGGCTTAAAAAAATCTACATGTTACAGGTTAATTCTGTTTTTCTGTCAGCATGAAAAGGATCATTATGTGATAACAAAGCACGTAGACCAAACACTAATACGATTCACATCAAAACGCTACAATCATCATGCTTCCAAGCATGAAATTTATCGCAATAATTAATAAAATTTTTGTTATCACGATGACGTTTTTCATGTGTAAATGTTCTGCGGCCGCATCCTTTCTCCCCATCTAAAAAATGATAGATGAACACCTGAATACTTTTCTAATTGAGATATTTTAAATACGAAATATATTCCGACATATATTTTTTTTGTTCTATTGACCACCGTTCTTAATCATATTTATGAATTTGAAACCAGCATGAAAATCCATCAAGAGATATAACACCATTGAAATTAGAAAGCATCCCCGATGTTCTCCAGCAATATCGATACAACTACGCAATATAAAGTTCATTTAGGGGGTGTTTGTTTTACCAATTTTTTTGGCAATTGGTATGGATTACAAGTTTTAGAATCAAAAAGTGAGTTTTTTTTTTGTATTTTGGGATTTCATATATGATGTTTGTTTTAATTTTTTTTTAGAATATTAAATATTAAAAGTGCAAAAAATGCCCAATTTTTAGAATTTGTCAAATCCTCTCAATTAGAGAGGATTTTGACAAATCTCATAAGTGGGTGTGTTCACCTCTCAATTGGAGAGGATTTGACAAATTCCAATTTTGTCTTTTTGTGGGAGGTAACCTCATCAAGATAGCATATTCACCATATTACAATTTTTTAGCATTTGATAATGCTACAATTTGAGCTTGAAACAAACAAAATATTACAAATTGTAGTATTCCAAATTCCAAAATATTAATGAAACAAACAACATTTTAGAAATCCCAACCCATAACAAAACATCTATGGATTTCAAATCCCATGGTGAAATCCATATCCTAAAATTATAGGATTTGAAGCAAACACCCCCTTAATATGCGGCTTCATATTTAATAGTATGGTTTTTCCATAGAGTGCCCATGGGCACTCTATAAGAGAGGAGAGAGATAGAGAAAAATGAATTATGCACAGAAATTAATGCAAATCAGGAGGGGCCCATGAGCTATTTATTTTTCTCTAGAACAATTTTTCACTTCAGCGCCATTCCAATTTTTTATTATTGAAATCAACCCATTTTTTTTATTTACCAAAACCGACCCGATTTCGTGATTAGCAGCTTAATCACCTTCCTAATTAGTCGGGGTTGCCAACCCCGACTATTTAGGACATTAATTTTTAGGGTTTAAGACTTCTAATTAGGGTTTAACACCCTTCTAAATAGTCGGGGTTGCCAACCCCGACTAATTAGGAAGGTGATTAAGCTACTAATCAAGAAATCGGGTTGGTTTTGGTAAATAAAAAAAAGGGTCGATTTCAATAATAAAAAATTTAAATGGGGCTGAAGTGAAAAATTGTTCTTTTTCTCTATCTCTCTGCTCTCTTATAGAGTGCCCATTGGCACTCTATAGAAAAATCCTTAATAGTATCATCTTAAATTCAAATCCAAATTCTAATATCTTTACATCTATACGATATAATGTTCATTTACTATATGGCTTCATATTTCATAAATATCATTTTAAATTCAAAACCGTGAATTAATAACGCATTAATACTGGGTTTAGACTCTGATACTAACTTAAAGGGTACTTCAAATTGAAATCATGAACATTTATAATCCTAATACCACAAATGTTTATTCGAACTTAAACCAGACGGCATAACACCCTCGCTCCCCACGTCCCCCACCACCTACTGAGCATGGAAACATGCACAAAACCGCTAATTATTTTTTAAATAAACCCCACGAAAACTATTTAATTACAGTAATAATAATAAATTATGGCGGTGGGGATATGACAGGCTCCTGGGTTTGAATTTTTTGGGCATCCCACCGAATTTGAACGTTATTACTAACCAAGAACAGAGTCAACAACAGTACAACAATTTAAAAATAAAATCCATAATATATAAATTAATAAAGAAAAAGGCTTCCGCAGTCTCATCAGTCTTCGGATTCCATGATCAGATAAGAACAGAACAGACGATACTGGGGCCCAGTCCCAAGTCCCAACCTAACATCAAAGTGGAGTGCAAGGAAAAAAAACCGTAGAGAAAATGACCCGTTAATGCTTTTTAATTAGGGAAAAAACACTTTCTTTATTCTCTAATTAATTACATTTTTAGTTTTAACTCTGGGTGTACTTTTAAAGCATGTACAGGTTTCTTTGGCTCTCTCCTCTTCATCCATTGAATGCTACCAACAGGAGCAATAGTAGTATTGATTAGGGGTGAGCATGGTTCGGTTCAAACCGAAAAAACCGACCGAACCGATCCGAACCGACCCGGAAAAAGCGGTTTTATGAGTAAGGCGGTTCGGGTCGGGTTGATAATTTTTCAAACCGACCCGAACCGAACCAACCGAATATATTTGTGCCTTTGATTTGTGGGTTTATTGTTGTGTTCGATCACCATGAATAGCAGTTGCAGGGAATTGATTCATACATAACCAATGTTCTAATGAGTCGGCTCCTTTTTTTGTCTCCACAAAGACCAAAGTCAAAGCTTGCTACACAAAGACAAAGCAAGTCCGTTACTAAAAAATTACAACGTCAGAGTCTAGTATTTAATCCAAAAGGATAAGTTGCTTTACTTAAAAATAGTATACATACATGAGCAAGAATAATAAATTGAAGTGAAGTTAAAAACAAATACATGCTAGCATAGGGTAATAATAATATATAAAAGATAAATTGAAGTGAAGTTATACTTGATGAAGTTAGAACCGAACAAACCGAACCGAACCGCACCGAACCGATTTGTAATGGTTCGGTTCGGTTTTGAATTGTAGGTGGTTCGGTTCGGTTGTTCAAATTTTGGTGAAAACCGCCCCGAACCGAACCGTGCTCACCCCTAGTATTGATGGATGTTTTTCAACTGTTTTAAGGGAGTTACAGTTGTTTCTTTTTTCAAAATTTAGGAGGTTTTGATTAGACACCAAGCACTTAAGTTAGGGGGCTTGTTTTGGAAACCGTAGTTGCCTAAAAAAGCAATTTGAAAGGGGAAAGGCTTCACCTTTGTCTTCTTTCTTCTTGGTTTTTTTCACAGTTTGCCCATTTCCAAAATTTGAGCTATTTTCTCTCATGGGTTTTAGAGCTGAGGGCAAGATAAGGGGTAAAGGTGGCTCCTTTGGCTAAGAGTTTGCGACCCATTTGAGAAATTTGGAAGCTTTGGATCAATTGATCATTAAGGTGAGTAAACTTTCTTTAGTCTTGATGTTCTCGTGTTTCCTTTCAATCTTCTTTTTGATGTATAAAACCAGTAAAGTTCTTTTCTTTTGTTGGCTTTCTTTTCTTCTTACTGTAGATTTTGTTGGATGCTGTATACTTTGAATCGCCTTAAAATAGAAAGTAGTAGCAGAGAGATAAAGTTGTTAACTTTGCAGTGCTAAGAGATTTTGAATTATCTTGTTTTCTATGGAATGGAATGCAGAGGTAGGTGTTGGGTAGTTCTTTCTGTATGTTAGAGGTTTGATCCTTTCCAATTCTGGGAGACGTTAAAAGGAGAACCATGGAAGTGTTTTATTTTCTATTTCTCCATTTCCCCCCTAATTTTTAGTAGTTCATCTTCTTTGAGATGCCATTGAATAAAAAAGCTGAGAAATGAAGCTGCACTCAACTTTTTTGAAAGAGGCATTTGAAGGGAAATGATCCAATGTGACAATTAATGTTTCTAAAGGCTAAAGTTGCGGTATTCATGGTTGAACTAGGATTGTCGTTACAAAACCCTAACCAATAGCTCAGAAAACAACTCTTTTCTGTAATCCAAATATCCATAATTTTTCTTCTCAATTCTCTCTTCCAATTGTTTCATATATATAAATCCTAAAATCATAAACATACTAGGAATTCTAAAACAAAAAAACAAAACAGATTAGGGATCCTAATAACCTGTTACCAAAACAGATTTGGAATCATGTTACCAAAACATATTAGGAATCCCAATAATCTGTTACCAAAACAAATTAGGAAACATATTAGGAACCTGCTATCCAACATAATGATTGTTGCTCTCCCACCGTTCAATGAACTGAAATCTCTTCTTTGGAGCATTAGAGCATCTCCAACCTAACGCCAAAAAGCCATTTTGACGCAAATCCAACGCCAAAACTTCCTCCAAATTAGAGCATCTCCAACCTAACGCCAAAAAGCCATTTTGACGCAAATCCAACGCCAAAACTTCCTCCAACCGAGCGCCAAACCCCGCGCCATTTTAAAGCATTGCTACAGTGTTGCGCCAGAAATGGCGCAACACTGTAGGAATGGCGCAACCGATTCGTCGCAGAACAGCAAATAAAAAAATCAACCAAAAGTCACCCAAAAAACAGAAAATGCATCAAAAAAATTAAACGAAATTGAGAGATCGGTCAGGTTTATGAGGGGATTACAGAGAGAGAGAGATGAAGTGCGAGGCGGCGGCATTGGTGAGCTTGGCCCTAACTTCTCGTGGCTGATATTTATGTGTAGTCTAGGGTTTTAGTTAGAAATGGACCTTAACTCTCTAGGCCCACCCGGCCCAAAGATGTATGATGGGCTGGTACACTTAAATGTATTATATAATTATACAATTATATAATTTGTTAAATATTTTAAATAGATAAAAATGTTAAAAGATAAGAATAATAAAAGGAATATTCTTTTTGGTGTAAAAATTTAGTGTAATGGGTTGGAGATGGAATAGTGATTTGGTGTAAAAACTACACCAACTTGGTGTAAAAACTACACCAATTTGAGTTTTGTGGTTGGAGATGCTCTTAGTGTAGAAAAAAACCTTGGACTCTCTCTTCAAAAACCTGTCTGTTCCTCTCTTTTTTTTATGACTCTTATGTTTTGAAAAGGTAGAGAAAATAATTAATCCTCTGAATTTTTCCATTGCCTAGACTTCTTAGATTGTTTTTATTACCATGAAAATTTGGCAATTATATTGCATGTTGCGTAGTGATCAGACAAAAGGATTGATAATATTTTACTAAGCTAACTATTTGAGATCCTCCCGTGAGAAAGAAATCAGTAATTCTTCCTGTATTATACTCTTTTCACTCCCTTTCAAACATGAATTTCTCCAATTAATATGTAAAATTTGGGTGTCTATCAAAGTTAACCTGGTCTAACTGTATTGTGGTTTTCTACTAAATGTTTATATTATTGTACAGAAGGTTTGAAGTGATGAAAAGGACCAAATATCCAAAATATGCAAGCATGGATTAGATTTGTTTCATTGGAACATAGGAATGGAACATGCGAATTCCGACAGGAAAGAAGAATTCCAACATGATAACAATATGCCTTGTAGTGTAAATAATTCCTCCGAACTCGAACAAGATGATCTCTCAGGTTTCACTATTTCCGAACTCGAAATTGAGTTTGAGAAAATGTGCAACAAATTAGTGATCCCAAACTACATCCGTCTCATCAGCCCCCATAAGGATTTCTCAGAGAATTGCACTGATTATGATACAGCATCAGATCCTGTAAGTATCTTCTATAGAAGGGCAGCCTTGTTTAGCATCCCGGTGAATCTAAGATCTTCAGAAAGCCAAAAGAACCAACAAAGATGGATGTTTGAGTCTAAAGAGGCCAATTTGTTATTCAAATTAGGTGTTCGAGATGATAAAAGGAGACATTTTAAATCACCATCAGCTGATTTAAGACTAACAAAATCTTCGGAATTGTGCAGTTTACCTTCAGTGCTGAGGGAGAACATTGGAAGACAAAGTTCTGAGTTTAATATCTCTGAAAGAAAGCTAGTTTCTTGCTCTAAAGGGCTTCTTTGTTGTGTTTGGAAGAGCGAGATACCCTTTTTTGTGTTTTCATTCGAAAATCACAGTAGTGATTTATATCTGGCTTATCCTCAAAAGGTGGAGTCTTCATTTGATAAGTCCTTGGATTATGTGTACTTATTTCATTCGATAAAGTCCAAAAACCATCGAAATAATGCATCAAGTGTTATTGGCAAGATGACAGTATCGAGTTCTTTTGTTCTAGACTCCAACGGGTCCAAACTCTTGGAGACTGAATTTGTCCTTTTTGGTACTAAAGAAGACTATTTCAAGGAAATTGAAAGTTCATCCTTTACTCTCAACAACAGTAAAGGTTTCTCAAAGAAAATCACAGAAGTACTTAAATCAAGGTACTCTTTCAAGCATAAAGCTCTTCATAAGTTCGGTGAACCAAATTTTAATTTGGATGATTTTGAGCGGGGTATAAACGAAATGGATAATGTGAATGATTTTGTACAAGCTTCTCCATCAAATCTTGAGTTGGCTGCCATAGTTGTGAAAGATTATCAATGTAATAGAAGTAAAGAACCCGAGAGAGGTGGTTGGGGCCTTAAGTTTCTCAAGAATTATGAAGGAGGTCCGGAGAGAAAATGTGGAGATTCTAGAAGGAAAATCGATGTTTTAGTCCCGAGTGGTTTCCATGGAGGCCCAATTAATGGAAGTGATGGGCCTTCTGGCCTTATTGAGAGATGGAAATTTGGAAGTTGTGACTGTGGAGGTTGGGATATTGGATGTCCTCTCAAAGTTCTTGAGAACAATTCTCTATGTTCGACTACTTTAATCCAAGATGACTCAGAAGAAGATAGACAACCAGTTTGTTTATTTATGAAAGAGGTCTGTTAAACTTTTCTCCTTTCTTTTAACTAAGTTTAATTTGACCTGTTATTTTGATATCTGATCTATTTAAAATGCCTTTTTCTAGTCAGAAAAACTTATAAAATTCGTCTGGTCTTTAGTCCCTGCTAGTCTGCAGAACTACTTGAATTGTCTAGATATTTAAAGAGAAGCTACATGAATAATAGCACAATTAATCTACCGTCTTTACCATTGGGCCAAGCCTTAGTGGTGTACAAGTCGAAAATGATTTTTAGAATCTTTTTTTTTTGTTTTTTGTTTGTTTTTTATGCAAATGTATTTTCTTCCTGTATGGTCTCAGGTCTTTGATTATCTCTCCAAGACTGCAACTATTTGAGTTCTGTACGACAAGATACTAGCTAAAACTGTTGCTTTACTTGGGAAATACTATTATAACTTTGCTTTCTTTTTTCTTCCATATTCTATACTTGTAAGTGAAGTTTGCTCGATTCTCCAATGTGTGTGGTGTGTGTATAATCTCTAGTGTGAACATATAATAAAAACTTACCTTCATGATTCTAGAGTTCATGATGAGTTGGGTGTTGGATCATCTTACACCCAAAATTTCTTTTTTCTGATATATTACTGTTTCTCTTTTAGCGACCAAATTATTTTTCTGCTCTGTAGTATATACCGTTTTATCTTTGTGATTTATTGATGTTAAGAATTTTGACTTGTAAATGTCAACATGAAGGTGAAAACTCCTTGTTTGTTTGTTTTTTTTTTCCTCTTTTTTTTTCTCTTTTTTGAGAATGATTACACAGAATTTTGAAACACTATTTGGTTGATGTTTTGTAGTGACCTTGTGCCATGTAACTCCCCAAAAGCTAACCATGGATATTGACAACTTTTACTTTATTAATTTCCCTATTGAGAATTTCTTCTTGCAGAATGCATAATCATGCATGTTTCTTTCACATAATACTACAACAAATTATGGAAACTGTGCGCTTTTAAGGAGCTTATACCTTTTGTCTTTCTCAGGAGAAACCCTTGTTTGATTGACAAAATTCTATAAAATACTTAAAGAGAAATTTATGGTGACATGTTTTTTAATCAGTGCATTGAATGTCTATGATAACCCTTGTAATAAGCCTAGACTTCATTATTCAAGCACTAGAATTAATGATCATCTATTGTTTATTACCTTTCAGGGTGCTCAACAAAGTGAACCAACTCTCAGAATGATGAACAAAAGCAAAGACATGTATTGTATCGATTTCGAGTCATCTCTTTCAATATTACAGTCTTTCTCCACAGCGGTTGCGATCATCCACTGCAAAACACCAGACCTGTACCCAAAGTTTTAGGTGAAGAAGAGAGCACAAATACTTGAAAATGGTGTATGTCCATGTGTATATTGTTATAGATATCCATGTATTTTATCAAGTTAGGTTACGTTGATCTACAAAATGGGTTATTTTCGTTTTTCACTCTGCTTGTAATATCAATGGCTTTTGATAGTTTTCTAGAGATTTCGATGCGGTGAAATCTCGAGTCCTATTATTAATGTGAGAACTTGAATGCTGCAAATAGAAAGCTTACAACATGCGGATGAAAATGTGGTTCTTTCGGTGAATTATATATTGAATGTATAATGCCTGTTACGTATCGCTAATGTGTAACCAAAGGTTTTTCAGGGTTTTAATCATTATTAGGAACTTGGTTTATGCATAAAAAAATTACATGTGGAACTGTATCTCGATTTCACATAATAGAGAAAATGTATAAATATGATCTTGTCAGTCAGTCATTTCATGGCTAGGATAAGTCCCTCATTCTCTTTTACTTGCTTCTAACATATTTTATACATTTTAAGAGATTTCACAGAAGAGAAAATACTTAATTCTCTTTTAATCTTCTAAAGATTTTATGAATATTGGGGCTTAATTCCTAAGATCATAAAGAGAACGAGGCTCTTACTGATGCGAAACGATGAGGTGGTCTATCAGAATCAGCGATCTAAATTGTTTGAACAACGCATCGTTTTGCTAAAAATCATGATTTTCGACAGGAAATTAATTTAAAAATAATTAATGTGACTGACGGATTTAAACAAGATTTTCATCAACAATCATGAATAGTTTCAATCTCAAACAATATAATCGTAATATTCTATTAGGAACTTGGGTAGTATGGGATGCCTAAGTCCCACATCGAGTAAAATGGGAAGCTTGATGGGGTATTTAAGTGACTTGGTTCTTCCCCCTTAACAGCTAGCTTTTAAGTGTGGGTTCCTCAAATTGCTTGGATCCTAACAATAAAAAAAATTAAAAATAAATTTAAAAAAAAAGAAAAAAATAATAAGAAAAAAGATAAATAAAGGAAAAAATAAAAAAAGAAAGGAAAAAATAAAAAAATTAAAAAATAAATAAATAAAAGAAAATTATGAAAAAAATGAGTATGTGAGGGACTTGGGTAGTATGAGATGCCTAAGTCCCACATCGAGTAAAATGGGAAGCTTGATGGGGTATTTAAGTGACTTGGTTCTTCCCTCTTAACAGCTAGCTTTTAAGGGTGGGTTCTCCAAGTTGCTTGGATCCTAACAATTGGTATCAGAGCTGGTTATCGGCGTCACGAAAAGGGCTACATGTGGAGGGGCTGACCGGCGTAGGGGCTGACCGGAAAGGCCGAGTAAAGCAACGCCGAGTGAAGCGTCATAGAGTGCAGCCGCCGGGACGTCGACTCTCAGGGGCGGTACTATGTTAGGGACTTGGGTAGTATGGGATGCCTAAGTCCCACATCGAGTAAAAATGGGAAGCTTGATGGGGTATTTAAGTGACTTGGTTCTTCCCCCTTAACAGCTAGCTTTTAAAGGTGGGTTCCCCAAGTTGCTTGGATCCTAACATATTCATTATCATTGTGCAAGCTCTACAATCAATATCAAAATTCAACAGTCACATGTTCAGTTCCTCTCAACTCACAAGTATAATTTAAGCAGTGAAATATATGATAAGAATTTAGAGATGAACTAATCATGCAATTAACTAATAAAGTGAAATTAGCAGAAAAATATTGAGTGAAATTGATACCATTGACGGACTGAAAATCAGATCGTATTGAGTTGGAATCGGGTCTGATCAAACAACTAGATCCGAAGCCCCCTTTTCCGCGTTGTCTTCGAACTGAGGAAAAGAACGGCCGGCCGCCTTTGGTGGATAAGAGAGGGCCGGGTGGTTGTTCGCATGGCCAGCCACTGGGGGAAGGCACTGGTCCTTGGGATGGTTGAGGATGACGATGAGGTGCTCGGAGGCATGACTGAAGAAGGAGAAGAGCAAGGGGGTTTTGGTTGTTCGGATCTGGAGGGAGAGGAGGACAAACGACTGCAGGGAGGCGGGACTGGAGGCGGTGCTGGATGTCGGTGGATGCAGGGGGAGGTGGGGCTGATGACGTTTGCTGGATGATAGAAGATTCGACGATGTTGGCGGTTGAGGAAGAAGAAAGAAAAAAAGAACAGGAGAAAAGCCCTAGGTTTCACACCCTTACGGTTTCACACCAATAATTAGGCTAACACTATTTTTTTCATTCATTATTCATCTGATTACAATTGTGCTTAAATAGAGAAAAGAAAATCTCACAATATAAAATCTCACACAATCAAATCCCTCACTATAAATAACTATCAAATCTAAACCTAATTTGAAATTCAAATCTAAACTAAAATTCAAAATTTAAAATTCAAAATTCGAAATTGACTACTAAAAACTGACATAATTAAAATTCAAATAACAAATATGGGAATTGTCTTTATTGTTCTCATCACTTACACTCTTAAATAGAGTTTTGGATATTTTGTCCTAGAGGCGTGATTTCCACTCATGTTTACCATAGTGAATAATTCCTAAGCTTTGCCCAATTCTTCCATCTTTTTTTATTTCGCTATTGAATTCCAACATTCATCTCTCTGGCTATGAATCAAATATTGGATTATGCTCTTATTATTCCTGTACTTAGATTATTCTTTCATTATCATGGATTACTTGGTTTGAAAAAATATAGAATAACACAACCGGGGGAGTCATTTTTATTCTCAAAATGGATCAAATAATTTGTATGGGAAAATATCGTGATGCAACCTCTTTTCAGAAAAAAAAATAGAAAAGAATAATTTTTTTTTCTAAATTTAATTATATTAGGAGGTGTTTGTTTCAAATCATATAATTTTAGGATATGGATTTCACAATGGGATTTGAAATCCATAGATAATTTGTTATGGGTTGAGATTCCTAAAACTTTGTTTGTTTCAATAATATTTCGGGATTTGGAATACTATAATTTGTAATATTTTTATTTGTTTCAAACTTTTTAGAATTTGAAATTCTTAATTTGTCTAATACTTTTAAAATCCACCCCACATCCCATCCAAAAAAGATGATTTCACAAATCCTTAAATATAATATTTTTTTATTATTTGGGGATTTGATATTCTACAGTTTGTTTTAAAACAAACAAGTTTTATGGAATTCTAAAACCCAAAAAAATCTCACTTTTTGATCTTAGAATTTGAAATGCCACCCAAATGCCAAAACTTTTTTGAAACAAACACCCCCAAGACATATCTAATGAGAATGATGAATATCATTAATAATGCTATGATTTTTTTTTGGAAAAATTGCTTCAAGGCCCCAAACTTGAAAAAACAATGTGGCCCAGCCCCCTGTAGTTTGGCCCATGTGGCTAAGCCCTTAAATTTTCAAAAAATTGTAACTGAGCCCTAAAAGCAGTTATGACACCCGTATTTGCACCCAGCCTCCCTAAAATACCCCCGCCTTCAACTCCGTGCCTCGAAAACGAGATCCGATCGCTGGCGAAACCTCTCCGTCGCATTTAAGGCGAGATGATGGCCGTTTTGGGGGGAAATTTTGGCGCGCTCCCTCCGTTATATCTCCTGTTAACCCACTCGGCTTTGAAGAGAGTGTATTTATGGTGCAAAGGGCAGATCTTTGCGGTTAGGGCTTACGATCTTCAGCCCCCTACTTGTCCTAAAGTGCCCTTCATAACTCCTCTTAAATCCCCTTCATTTATGGCGGAGAGCCCCCTTATTTGCATGGTTTCCTTGGGTGAGAGAGCAGTGTTCTCAAGGGTAACTTCTTCAACCTCTTTTTTTGAGTTTAAGTTCGACGTGGCTGAGAGGTTGAAGGTTCCATATGATGCGCTATCAATGGTTAATAAATCTGAAAGGATCCCTGATCTGAGTTTTGAGATCGAGAATGAGGATGATATGGAGTGTATGGTGGAGCACAACCGTAATATCGGGTGTCTGGAGATCCATATTCGAGCTAATATAGATGTAGATGTTTCCAGATGTGAGAACACCCCGAAGCAACCACCTGAAAGGTAAGTTATATTTACACTTAATTTATTTGAAAACTTATGAATTGCATAGAGCAGGTTAAATGTTAGCTTTTAACTGATATATGTTAACTTTCTACCGAAGGTTGTTAAGCTTTAGGGCATATTTGTTAACTCTTAAGGGTACTGCATTATTTAAGTACAAGTCCTATTTGTTATTTTAAGAAAAACCAATTATATTTGTGCAGCATTATGAATACACTGAAGCCAAAGTTTATTGATAGTACTTCTGCTGCAAACCATGGTTCTGAAAGAATTCCAATTGATAATCCCAGTGGTAGCAGTGTAGTGCGTTCTGATGACATTATTAACAACACAGTAATGATTCCTGGTTGGTGGCATAATGCATTAACTGAAGAGGGTCAAGAATTTGAAAGTGCTGAAGAATTAAGGTTGGCGATGACATACTATTCTCTGGCCAAAATGTTTGATTATGAGTTTAAAAAGAACGAACCAAAACGTATCCGTGTATATTGCCGATATAAAGAAACTTACGAGTGCCCATGGATGTTGTTTGCTTCACCTGTTAAGAATGCAAATAGACTATCGATCAAGAAGTTTGTTAATGAACATACTTGTGGGCAGTACGGGCAAAATACAGGTCGTTCAAGGGCATCCCGTAAATTCATTGCAACACAGTTACAACCACTCCTGAAGGTCCGTCCAGAAATCCGACCCGTTGATGTGCAAAAGGAGTTCCTCACAAACTACGGCCTTAGAATTGATTACAGTAAGATATGGTGGGGGAAAGAGAGAGCACAGGAGAAGCTTTACGGGGATATATATGAGTCGTATGATCAACTACGATGGTAAATGCTGAGCTTTATTATTAACTTGTTAAGTTCCAAAGTTTGCTTGTTAAAACAAATAGTTAACATGTTCCTTGTTAAGTTCATTGATAACATTGATAACATGTTAAGTTTCACGACTAACATGTTAACTCTTGTAAATAACATGTTAACTCTTGTTAATAACATGTTAACTCTTGTAAATAACACGTTAACTTTTGTTAAGTTACCCCAATAATGTGTTAGCTTTTTTTGGTCGCTTGTTAAGCTACACGGATAACATGTTAACTTGTTGGTTTGTTTCTTCTTACACGACTAGGTATGAGCGCATGGTAAAAGAGACAAATCCCGGCAGTTACATACATGTTGACCAGAATGAGGGGAGGTTTTCGAGACTCTTTGTTTGTTATGCTGCATGCAT